TCGTACAATCATAAAATCAATACAAATTAAGGGTAGTTTGAAATTAGTTTAATTGTTAGGTTTTTAAAATAATTAGAGATAGGGAATGCCATTTTACTATTACACATTGTTCAAAATCGAACAACAAATGAGTTTAGCTCAACGAAAATTAAGTTTATTAATAATAATAGTGTTCTAGATTTGAATTATCCAACCTACCACTTATAAGCCTATACACAAATGACAGTAGGATAATCATTTTTTCAAATTTAAGGGGTGTCCCTCACTATCTATTATATTTTTTTGTCTATACGTAAATTACCACCGGGGTTGGATAATCGTTTTTCCAAAATTTAGGGGTGTCAACCCCTTGGGTCCGCCCCTGCCTTTTCCTTTCCGCTGGTCCCCTCCATATAGAGCAAACTATAAAATTAGTTTTTGCTATCTGAAATGGTAACTTTTGGGGGTAATTAACATCGGAAAAAGCCCGTGTTGGTTTCTAGCACGTTAAGGAAAAGGGAAAAGTGGACTAAAGCACAAACATATATAATAGAATCTAGTACCTAATCTTGTGGACATAGTACGTAGTTCCAAGTACCAGAGCGAAGTGAAGTGAAGTGCGGGGGTTGGTTTCAAGAAAATGCGGCTGTCATATGCAAAATTCCTCTAAAATGCTTGGAGACAATCATTAGTCCCACATGGTTCAGTTAATTTCTTGACACATAATATAGTTTGTGTCTGGATCTGGTTTCCTGTTTTGCTTTTGGCGATTATTTTTCCTTTGCCGAAGATGACACACATAGGCGTGGAAGGGCTGAAACACTTCTTTTTCACCGGCACATAAAAGAAGCATTGTCAAGATGGTGATATACAAACTTGCTTTTTTAAGCGAGTGAGATTTGAGAATAAAGTAAAAATGCTACCTTTTAAGGCAAACTCGACCTGATCTCTTGTGATCGTCACTTATAGCTTCCGAAAGATAGTTGTCTATGTTGTAAATTTTCAATAAGCTCCAAAGATAGCATTAGAGAGTGGTCATCTTCTATGGTTGGCCTGGAGTCCTAGATTCATGGAGAAACTATCATAATTGTAGTTAAAGTGCCGTCCCGCCAATCTGTAAGAGATGCACTTCTGACTTAAGTACGTTGTTGGACTCACAATCAAGGTGGCCATGAACTCTCTTGTGAGCATGTCATTATTCTCTCCTCTGATACCGAATAAGGACAGGAGACCGACATCATCTAGTCTCTGTCTCACTATTGCGCCCCATCCTTGGTACTGTTTACAGTCTGGCCAGTTAAGCTCTCCTTGGGCATCCACTAGTATCTCTCTCCATCTCTCCGCCTTCTTGGCACTAGAACTGTCGGAGAGAGACTGAAGAAAATGGTTCGGATAACGAGAGAACAGAGAACGAAGGAGTTGGATAGACAAGCTCCCTCTAGGTCTCCTAGTCATGTATACCTCGATATCTGACAACATACGAGCTGCCAATTTTGTATTTCGTTAGATCCCACATTGTGTCGAATCATTTACCCGAACTAATGGGAAAAAAGGACCTTGTGGTTTCTCCCTTGAGGCATAACGTTGTTCGATCTAACGATGATCGAATAAGACCGCCATGTATGGTCTAATTCTACACAACTAGGATTTTGATCCTTGTACCTCGAAGGAGTGCAAGGTTGACTAAGCAAGCATTCAAATCGACCAATAACGAAATAGAGGAAATCAAGCAGTAACACATATGAAATAAAACAATCATATTATGCAAAATATCAAATTTTACATGACTAGACTCCAAGGGTTCACATACCTATGCAACTAAAGGAACTAGCCAGTCACGTGGAAGGGCTTCTAGGCGATCATCGGTCAAAAAGAAATCCTCAGAACACAACTGGAATCGGCGGCCACAACATAGAAACAGAGCTAGTGACGCCGTTTCTAGCGCCGATTCCTCCCTTGAGGTTAATTTCGCTCTAATTCTGGTGAGTCGCTTTGTCGACAGAGCAACGGTCCTTCCTTGGCCTCTCATCTCTACATCGTGATAGCTACTACGTCATCCAGCCAATCAAAATTCTCCGAACCTTGGCTAGCGAATCAGGAAGCTCTCAGGTAACTTTCTGAAAAAGAAGAGGAGCCCCGTTAAACGAGAACAATGGCGCCATTTTTCATCATGGGCCTCCGTTTTGGGCGCCATTTCTTTAATTTCGTCTCCTCTTCAATTTTTGGCTCCAACAACTGGATCACGATGTCCCCTTCGTCCACCAAGTCGTTCACTAGTCTACTTTGAGCTAAAAATGCACAAAGCACTACCAAAAGCGCATCAAACCCGCAAAAGCAATCCTATGGTTGGTAAAACACACTTGAAGCAATCATAGCACGAATCCAAGGTATTATGACGATAATGATACTAAATGAATGCACATTGAATCATAATACGAGGGTCTATAATAGTCAATTCTATGTGTGATCACTCCCTTCTATTGAGTCTTGCAGACCTTTTAGGGGTTGCATACTCTGTCTCCGCTCGATGGGGACTGGGATGTCATGGTACTCATGAAGAAGAAGCACCATCATCTCCCTTCTTCTTGTACGGCTTTAGCCATCCTGTCATTCGATTCATTTTTATGATCAATAGAAAGAAACCTAAGTCAAAATAGATTAAATAGGGGAATAACCCTACACTTTGCCCTAGGTCCGCCCCTGCTAGAGGTGGGCATCGGTTCGGTCGAAACCGAACCGAATAGGAGCATGCGGGGTCCTCCGAACATGCCAAAGGTGAAACCGAATTCGAACAAAAGTATATTTCGATTCGGTTTGACCGAGCCAAAATATATTTTGGTTCGGTTCGTGATCCCGACCCGTCCAAACTTCTAGAGAAAACTGACATTCCCCACTTTCCCAATTCTTCTTCAATCTGTCGTCTCTTCAGCTACTCTCTCTCCCTCCCAAACTTTCCCACTTTCCCATCACCCCTCTCCCTCTGCTTCGCGCGCTCTCTCTCTCTCCCAAACAAACTTTCCCTTCACCACTTTCGTCATCTTCTTCCACCCCTCCCTCTGCTACTCTGCTCTTTATCCCTCCATAAACAAACTCTCGCCCAAACATAAATGTATCCCAAAAGCCAAACAAAGTTTGATTTTCAGAGGAAAGAGAGATAAAAAAGAGGCAGAGATCTCAAAGGTGCGATTTTTAGAGGGAGAACGAAGGAGGAATGGTAAATCTATTCTGCGGAGGGGCAGAGAATGATGGTATGTCGCGGATCCGCCCTCTCCAAGCACTCTACCGCCCAGAGAACTCTGGCGCCGATTCGTCTGTTCAATCCAAGCCCTCAACTCACCGGGAAAATTGGTGGGTATCAGCTCTTCCTCTCATCAACGGATTGCCATATCTGATTCTTCTCTCGTTCTTAATAGGGCCGCCGTTCACCGCGCCCTTCAGTTCCCGGTCTTCGCTTCTTCATCCGCCGCATGCAAAGCCCAGACTCGGAGCGTCTTGAAGAGAAGGGAAGAGAAGAGCTGGGATCTATAAGAGAACGGAAGACATGGGTTACTCTTTTCTTCCTCTTATATTCTTACTTTCTTTAGAGTTAGCAGCTAAGAGGGTTTAGAGTGTTTATTGGGACTTGGGTGGGCTTGGCCTCAACAGTGTGTTTGGATGGGTTTCGGCCTCTGAGGGTTTCGGCCTGAGGGAATGTGTATGGGTGGGCTGGGATGGCAGAATGGGAAAGGTTTGGCGGGCTTAATAACAATATATGTGGGCTGGGTTTAGTTTGTTTGGATTTCGGAAACTCAATTCGGTCGACCGTACCTTAATTTCCGAAATAAGTATATTTCCTTTTCGAATTGAACAACTTAAGTTCGATTTCGGTTCGAGTCGGTTACCGAACCGCATGCCCACCCCTATCCTTACCCCTTTACCTAGGAAAAGCGAAGAAGATTGGTCTGTGGCCGTGAACTGCCCCCCTGGGGTTTGAAGGCACGATTCCCCAGAACAGGCCTTTTTCCATGGTCCCACACGTTTATGAAATGCGAAAGCTGTAGAGCACAGTGGTGGCTTTCAAAAGTTAACCGGCCCGGGGAAGACTTCGCTTCACTCGCAATCCTATGTCCGATTCGCCGCGCGGAACATCCCCATTCGTACTTGTTGCTTTCTCACAATTCTACAAACTGCCATCCTCTTTCTTCTTCTTCTTCTTGGTCACAGCTGTATATTCTTCACCCTGTATCTCCGCGCCCGTCATCACCCGCAAAACGCTGAATCCAAGCCAACTGTTATTGACAATGCAAGCAAGTCTCCCCTTCCCCCCTCCCTTCGCGTTTCCGTTACGCCTAACCAACCAAAATCCACTTCCGTTCCGTTCCTCTCTATATTCTTTACACCAATATTTACCTCTTTCTTGTTTTTTAACTTCACCGTAAACTGTAAAAATTATGATAAAATGGTATAATGAAAGGAGGATTATGTTGAGTTGTAAAATACTGGTAACGGCTAGTTTAGATGTGATTTGATTTGATCGATCCATTTATTGAAGACAAAAAGAAAAGGTTGTTTGAGCCGACGTGGCAATCCCACATGGCATGATCAACACCCACTTGATTACCACATGCATTGATGCACACAAACACAATCGCCGCCGGCCCTCACCCTACGGTGGGGCCCAGCCAGCTAAGACCTGTGACTGGCCCGGCCCGGCCCGGCCCAACATTACAGAGAAGAAGCAGCGAGGCGTTCCCGTTGGAGCCTTCCTCCTCCCTTTCTTCTTTTGATTCCCCAAACAGCCAAATCCACCGCTAAACCAAACCCGAGTGGGCCATCCATCGAACGGCTGTACTGCGGGGTTCCTTTTCCCTCCTCCCCAAATCAACGGTCCAGATCGATCAGACATCTGTCCGTTGCAAAATGATTTTCTCCCCCTCCTATAAATTACACTCTCCACCTTCACCCTCCCACACTCAACCCCATCTTCTTCACTCCTCTCTCTAATCTCGATTCCTGCTCTCGAATTTCCTCTCTCTCTCTCGAAAGAAAACAGAAATGGAGGGCAAGAAGAGTATGCTCGTTCTCGCATTGGTGTGCGTAGTCGTCGCCGGCGTCGGTGGCCAAGCCCCGGCAGCCGCACCGACAACTACTCCAGCCACTCCCGCTGCTCCCGCCACCGCCCCCGCCGCTAGCAGCCCTAAATCGCCAGCTCCCGCATCCTCTCCACCGGCCGCCACCCCAACCGCAGCACCGGTCGCTACTCCGCCGGCAGCAGCGGCGACTCCAGTCAGCTCCCCTCCACCAGCTGCCGCCGTTCCCGTCAGCTCTCCGCCGCCTGCAGCAGCTACCGCTCCTCCTACACCTGCTCCCGTCGCCGCTACTACGCCTACCGCCTCCCCTCCCGCAGCCGACGTCCCCGCGCCGGCTCCCAGCAAGAAGTCCAAGAAGAAGAGCGGATCTCCGGCTCCCTCACCTTCATTGTCCAGCCCTCCCGCTCCTCCTGTCGGGGCTCCCGGACCTAGCGCCGAAGCCAACGCCCCTGGCCCTGTCGTTGCCGATGAGGTAAGCCGTTCGAAATTGAAAGCGCCTTGGTTAATTAAATGCATTGCACACTTTCAGATCTGGAAATAGCAGCAGTAGGTAGTGTAGAATTCGTCGGCGGCCTCAGTTTTTTTGAAATGCCGGCGAATCTGAGATCAGATCTAGTAGTGAGGATTAGGGATTAGGCAAGAATCTCTCCGTTTTTGTTGAGTGGGGGAGTGTTGACTATGTTAATTTACTCTCGCTCCCGGACGGGGAAACGCGAGATCGCTGGCGGTTGTGATCCACGCGTGCTGTGCGATTGATTGTTTGTCTGATATGGCTGACAATGGGCAGATTAAATTAATTAATATCTCACGCGCCTTGAATCCGATGATTAATTATGGGTAGATGACTAGATTCATTCATGGAGATCTAGAATTATGACTAATTAATATTTAATAATATAAAAATTGGGGTTTTTGCTTGTGTTGCAGAGTGGAGCAGAGAGCATGAGGAGTGTGCAGAAGATGATGGTCGGTGGAATGGCCGCACTGGTTGCTATGGCTGTTGCATTTTAGAGCGGAGCCGATCGAGTTTGTTTTGGTTCAAATATTTCATTCAATTTATTTTTAAATCTGTGGTCAACTCTAATCTAATCCTCTTTCACGGAGGATTTGGTTTACCCACCCCGTCTCAAGTCAAAATTCGTTCCGGACATTTTTTTCACTTTGTTGGCATTTCAGTCTCCCCCGCCGTTTCTTTTGAGAGACAGGCAGAGCTTTTTGATTTGAGTCGGGTATGGTAAACTGGTTGTATTTACGTAGCTTTATTATTTCTTTCTTTGTGGTCACGATTCCTTTGTACCATTGTAATTTGGACGCCTTTTCATGTTCTCTATCTATTTATGTATACATATTTCTTATGCTCACTGATTTCTGTTTTTATAAGGTTACATAATATGCACTTTTAATAAATTATTATTATTATTATATAAATAGTAGTTAGCAAATTAAGTGCGATCAATGGTCCAAAGGGGTAAATTGTAAGGTTGGTCACGAAATTATAAAAAACGTTCATGTTTGGTCACTGAAAATATTTAATTTCATTCGTGGTCACTAAAATTAGTTAAACATTTCAAGTTTGGTCACTCTCCGTCCAATTCTGTTAACTTTTGCTTATGTGACAGTCAACTCTTATTATGGGATGTACTAAATTACGCCCTAAGTTTTTAAAAAACTGTCGCCCTAACTAAGCAATTTGACATGAATGCCCCTGAGAATTCCCAATCCCTCGCCCTAGCATTCACGCCGTCGAGCAAGAGGGAATCCCCTGCGACAACAGTGGCGGAGACCTCTCTCCTTCCTCAACGAACGAGCCAGAGCAGCAACAGAGGCGGAGACCTCTCTCTTCCTCAACGCTTCGGCCTTCCCTCTCCTTCCTCGTCGGCGACGGGGTGAGCAACAGCAGCCATCCGCCAAGGCCTTCTCTCTCCTTCCTGAACAGCGACGAGCGCCTCCATCCTCAACGGCGACGGGGCGGAGCAGTTGGGAGAATCGAGGGAAAGGAAGGGAGCGATTTTCGTTTGGAACAACGACGGGGAAAGTGCGGATCAGATTCGCACGCTCGCCGACCGACGGGCCGCAATTTGGCGGCCGATGACCGGATTTACTTGGGAGAATCGAGGGAAAGGAAGGGAGCAATTTTGCCGCAGGGGATTTCTGTTTGGAACAACGACGATGGTGATGAGGACATTGATGACGACGACGGGAAAAGGGCGGATCAGATCCGCACGCTCGCCGACCAACGGGTTTTGCCGACCGACGGGGTTTAGGGCGTGGCTGCCCGTTGTTCTATTTCTGGGGCGACAGATTTTGGGAAATGGGGGGTTTTTGGGAATTGGGGGCGGATAGGGATAGAATTGTCAGTTTAGTTATTTAGGGCGTTAAATTTTGAAAACTTAGGGCTGTGAATAGGAACCCAGCTTATAATTGATTGTTAAATATGTGACATGTCAATCAAAAAATAATAAAATAAATAAAATTTAATTTTTTAAATCCCACCTCATTATTGAAACTATTAAAAAATAAAACAAATTTCTTTTAGTTGCCGCCACCGGCGCCGTGGACCTGTCGCAATGTGGATCTGTGTTTCCGTGAATCGTTGGGCGAAGTCGGCAACGAATCTGCTCTCGATACTCTTCGCCGATTAATAAGAAGCCCATCTTTTCTTCTTCCCGAAGAATCGTCGGTGGGGACTGTGTAAGGGAGAACGAACAGGAACTTTGCCACTTTGCCTCCTCCGCCGACTATTGCTGAGCAAACCCATAACCTAATTTTTGAAGTTTTCGACGGCGCCAGAACCAGATGCCGAGGAAGGTTGAGTGAGGATGGTCGATGGTTGGCGTAGCAGCTCCCGGTGAGTCCGGATCGATCGAGAGTGCTGGTGGAGAGAATGTCGGGCGTTCGGGGGAGAAGAAATTGTGTGGCGATTCCCCTGTTCTGGAGGTGGTGATCGATTTCAGCTACTTCCTTCATCCATACATCTCTCCGTCACAAACCCGCTCTTAGGGATTTTATCCGCCCCAGAAATTACCTCTGGTTTTCATCTATTCGACTAGGGGAAATCAAGAAATTAGATCTATTGGGTTGATATACAGGTTGTCGGTGATGGCAAAGAGAAGTAGAGTGGCGGTGTCGAGCCCGACGACGAGACGAGAGGATGCGGTGGCCGCCGCTGTTTGCTTCCTCCCTGCTTGCTCCGGTGAAGGGATTTGAGATCGGAAAACAATCTCTCGTCTTCCTCCTCATCTCCTCCTCCTAGCATCTCGAGCTGAGAGACGACGACCATAGCCTTCACTTCCGCCTTGGCGTACGACTCGACGGTTGGTCCGTCATCGTCGTGGTCGAAGAGCTCAGAGAGGCAGTTCCGGGGCCGGACCTCACATGAGCGGCAGCGTGGCTCGGAGATTGTGGTGTTGGCAGTGGCGGAGGTGGAAGTATTGGCGGAGGCATCGGTGTTGGAGCTGCTGGAGAAGGATTTGGGGTGGCGGAGCTCGAAGGTGGGGTACTCAATTGGGCCTCGTACCGTTAGATTTTGCCGATAACGCCGCGCCGATGTCAAGCCGGATCATGAGACATGTCCCGGAGATCAATTTCGCCGCCGTGGCAAGAACCCAGAACCCCACTCTGCTTGTTGCACCTGCGGCAACTAAAAGAAATTTTTTATTTTTTAATAGTTGCAATAATATTGAGGTGTGTAAAAAATTAAATTTTATTTATTTTATTATTTTTAATTGGCATGTCAGCACAGTTAACGGTCAATTATAAGAGTTGACTGCAACGTAAGCAAATTTTAAGGGAGTTGGACGGAGAGTGACCAAACTAGAAATGTTTAACTAATTTTAGTGATCACGAATGAAATTAAATATTTTTAGTGACCAAACGTGAACGTTTTTAGTTATCCGAGTGACCAACCTTGCAATTAACCCATGGTACAAAGTGTGGACGGAACTGATTTAGGGGTCGGGGTGTACCGGTTGTGGGTTCGATTGAAAAGGCTGTGCCATCTACTTTGTCAATGGAGGGCAGTAGGGGTGGACACGTGGGTGGTTAATCCGCGGATTGATATCGATTCACCCGCAAATAACCCGACCCGCATACAATGGGTGATTGATGTGGGTGGATTGCGGATTGTTAAATCTCCCACCCGCACTTATGTGGGTGGATGGTGGGTGGATGGCAGGTCATCCGTACGACACGCGTCCTATTTTTACATGAAAAAATGTTGTTCTTATAGTATCGAATATTAATAATATTTTCGAACTGCACTACAGTCTGACCATATACTTCAAAAGGTGGAGAATAAAGAATAGTTTTGACTACTATTATTGGTTATTGTGTTGTGCAATATCCATTGGATATTGGATATTGGTATGCAAATTATTGTTAATATCCATTAAATATTGGGATACAAACTATAAATTATTAATTGTATCAAAATCATAAATTATTGATACAATCTTACTAATTTGCTATGAATTTATTATAAATGTTAGTCAATTTTCTTAATGGCTAGTTGGAGAATTGCTTTTGCGGGTTAACCCGCGACTCAACCGCACCCATCCGCCACCCCACCCAACCCAACCCGCATTAATATGTGGGTGGATTGCGGGTCACATGACTTCCCACCCGCTAGTAAGCGGGTGGGTCAATTTTAGACCAAAATCCACCCAACCCGCCCATTGCCCACCCCTAGAGGGCAGGGAGAACAAACTCTACAAGGCAAATTAGAAATATGCACGCAGAAATGAAGATAGTAACATCACTCATCTATTATCCAATTGAAATGAAGATTAAATAGAGATTTTCTAGCCCTTTTATTATATTCTCGTGTTTTATAACCGTTAGAATTAAATTTACGCTATCGCAACCAATTAATTATCTTTGAATAACGAATTCTCTAGGGTTCTGGAATTCTCGGAGCGAAAACAGAAAACTTTTGCGGCTCGAGGAAGGGCTTTGCAATGGCGGCGGCTGTGCCGGCCATGACGGCGGCTCATGTTGACAAACCACCGGAAAGCCTGAGTGGTAGTCGACGCCAAGCAGAGTTGTCATCCTCACCAAATCACAGGAACGCGAAAGAAGCTACCCAACCAAAGAAAAAGGTTCGCGGGCTGAATCTGGACCAAGAGAACGTTAATTTGGACGATGTGGAAACGATTGAGGCGATGGAAACTGAGACTACTCAAACCCCACAAGCGAAGGTCTGGGAAAGGCTAGGTGGGAGGAGACTGTTCAGCGAGATCGTGCGAAGGGACGTCTGGTTTTTTGAAGACTCGGATATGGAGGATGTCACACAAGCGGAGAAGGAGGACGATGACCAGGTTGGAGAGGAGGAACAAAATCCCCTCTGCCCTACTATCCCTTTCACTGCTGCTGAGAAGATTCGTTGGCGGAGGGAGTGGCGCTCGGCCCTGGTGGTTAAAGGCCTAGGTCGAAACGTCCCCTACATCCCGCTTGTCCGCCGGCTGAATAGTTTATGGAGAAAGCATGGGGAACTGCAGGTTTCGGACATGAAAAACGGTTGCTATCTGGTGCGCTTTCGGCATCGGGAAGACTATGAACTTGCGGTTAACAGTGGGCCTTGGTTACTGGGAAACACATACCTAACAGTGTCAAGGTGGTATAAAGGCTTTAACCCCTGGAAATCTGTAGTCAAGTCAGCTATGGTCTGGGTCCAATTGCCGGAGTTACCCATTGAATTCATCAACAAAGAAGCTGTCATGAAGATCGCACAATTCATTGGGGTACCAATCAGGGTGGACCGGGCAACGGAAAGTGGGGATCGCGGGAAGTTTGCAAGGGTGTGCGTCGAGGTCGATCTAACCAAACCGCTGTTGTCCCAGTAGAAAATCGAACTAGAGGAGTACCTCATACAATACGAGGGACTTGAGAACTTGTGCACCGAGTGTGGTAATTATGGGAAACCTACGGCGGCATGCGGCTGCCGAGATATGCCTCAGGAGGATACTCCGGTCACTCCAGAAGAGGTTCCAGAAACTCAGGAAACTGAAAGTAAAACAAAGGGTCAGGTGTACGGCGAGTGGATGATCGTCAAAAAGGAGTGGAGAGCTGCCCCGAGCCGAGTGCAGGGAACCAAAAAGGTTGAGCCTCCAAGCAATAAGATAAATGCAATGGAGACTGACAATAAATTTCATGCACTGCATGGGGACGTGGAGGAGGCTGAGAATAGCAAGGTAGCTCAAGCGGGGCCTAATATACATGGAAAGAAAGATAATAAGGAAGCGAGAGGTAAACCCACAAGAGAAAATACAAAAGTTGACAGTGAACTGGAGAAGAGGGCAATTACTGGGGAAAAGAACAAGAAGGTGGGAAAGCAACTAGATAACTCTAAGGGGAAAGATAGCAAACGGGTGGAGACTAAACAGAAGGGGGGAGGAGTATCGGTAGGGGCAGATAGAGGCAGCACTCCCGAAGCTGGTCGGGATCAGATCACAAGTAAGCTGAAAGGTGCGGGGAACCTATCCCCTTTGGGTTATAAATGAAAGTACTGAGTTATAATTGCCGTGGTCTGGGGAACGCACGGGCAGTTAATTCCCTGAAGTCGCTAATGCGACGGTTGTCCCCAAATGTGGTCTTTTTAATGGAGACCAAGCAAACTAAGAGCGAGAATGAAGTTTTGATGAGGGAAGTGGGTTTCAACAATGGGGATGTGTGGGAGGTGGATCAGGCGCGTGGCGGTAGAGCGGGAGGTTTGAGTATATGGTGGGAAGATGGTGTGCCGTTGACAGTTATGTCTATGTCACCCAATCATATTGACACTAGAATTGATGATGAGGTCCGAGGGGTATGGCGGTTCTCCGGGATCTATGGGTGATCGGATTCGGCGGAGAAAGAGAGAACATGGGACTTGTTAAGAAGACTGGCGGATCAATGGGAGGGTAAATGGCTATGTGGGGGTGATTTCAACCTAGTCCTTTCAGCTAGGGATAAGCGGGGAGGCAATGCAGTGGTCACAGCAGAGATTGAAGGTTTTGCTGAGTGTTTGTTGGATATGGGTTTAAGTGACATTGGTTTTCAGGGACACCGCTTTACTTGGGAAAATAGGAGGCAAGCGGGGCATTACATAGAAGAGAGGCTGGATAGATTCTTGGCTTCGAAGAGTTGGTTAGCCGAGTTCCGGTCCTATTCTGTCACTAATCTCGAAAGATACCGGTCAGACCATAGACCGGTTATATGTAACACATTTGGGAAGGAGGAGGATGAGCCGAAATGGGGGTGGTCTTTCAAGTTTGAGCCGCACTGGATTAAGCACGCAAACTGCCCAAAAATCATTGGTGATACATGGGCAGGAGGAGCAGGCCAGCCAACCCTTCAGAGATTGGATAATTGTCGGTTGAAACTTGATGAGTGGAGTAAGCATACTTTCCCAAGGTTTTCCAAACAAAAGAATCGGATCAGAAGGGCACTTAAAGCTTTGGATAGAATGCCCAAGACAGTGGAAAACATAGCCCAAGTAAAACAACTGGAATCTGAGTTGGATGAAGTTGAGGAAAATGAAGAACAGTATTGGAAGCAGAGGTCGAGAGCTGACTGGTTGAAAGGAGGAGACGGAAACACCAATTTCTTCCATAGGAAAGCATCCGCCCGACGCAAAAGAAACACGATAAAGAAGTTGAAGGATGAAGCTGGGCAGTGGTTCTTGGGGCAGGAGCAACTTTTTGCTGTCTTAACTAACCATTTTGCTTCTGTGTTTACAGCAGGTCCTATCCCAGCAGAGAAACCGGTTTTGGAATCAATCGCGACTTCAGTTACGGCGGGTGATAATGAGATGTTGACGAGCCCAGTTCTAATGGAGGAAGTTACTCGAGCTCTACGCCAGATGGGGGCGCGTAAAGCCCCGGGGGCAGACGGCTTGTCGGTACTATTCTATAGGAAATTCTGGAACATCATAGGTGAGGATATTGTGAAGCTTGTTCGGGAGATTATTGAAGGAGGGGAGATGCCGCATAATCTGAACCATACGCTGATCACTCTGATCCCTAAGGTGAAACTTCCTACCTCTCCTAAGGAGTTTCGTCCGATCAGCCTATGTAATGTGATCTATAAAATCGTAGCGAAGGTCTTGGCGAACAGGTTGAAACTGATATTGGACAAGCTAATCTCACCGGCACAGAGTGCTTTTGTGCCCGGTAGGTCTATAACTGATAATCTGATGGCAAGTTTTGAATGTTTCCACTCGATGAAGCGCAAAAGCACTAGTAAGACGGGTTTCCTGGCCGCGAAAATTGACATGGCAAAGGCTTACGATCGGGTGGAGTGGCACTTCTTGGAAGGTGTGATGCGAAAGATGGGATTTGCGGAAAGTTGGATTGGAACGATTATGAAGTGTGTCCGATCAGTTACTTATTCGATCTTGGTTAATGGGAACCAGTCTCCGATATTAGTCTCGGGCAGAGGTCTCCGGCAGGGAGACCCGCTCTCTCCGTACCTATTTTTGTTATGTGCGGAAGGTTTATCGGCTTATACAGAGAGGGCCGTTCGTGAAAAGAGGATCCATGGGTACCAACCGGCACAGGGCTCCCCTGTCGTCTCTCATATCTTTTTCGCGGACGACAACATATTTTTTATTCGGGCAACCACACAGGAAAGCCAGGAACTGAAAAAAATCCTACAGGATTATGAACGAGAATCGGGACAGATGGTAAACTTCTCCAAGTCGGCCGTTTTGTTCAGTGCAAACGTGAGTATGCATAACCAGTTGACAACGAGTGGTATCCTCGAGATGAAAAGAGTAGAAAAGCATGATAAGTACCTGGGGCTGGCAACAGTGGCAGGAAGATCAAAAAAGGAATTGTTTATTGAGTTAAAAGAAAAAATCAGGAAGAAATTAAATGATTGGAAGGAAAAGACACTTTCAGCGGCAGCCAGAGAGGTCCTGATCAAATCCGTGGCTCTAGCTCAGTTCTCATATGCGATGACTGTGTTTAGAGTTCCCGAAGGAGTTTTGGAGGAAGTCCAGAGCCATATCTACAATTTTTGGTGGGGGCAACGAGGCACAGAACGCCGCGCCCATTGGGTGAGGCGAGAGGAGATGGCTTGTCCTAAGGAAGAGGGGGGTATGGGGATTCGGGAGTTAAGAGGTTTCAATTCAGCCATGCTGGCGAAACAGCTGTGAAACCTCTACAAGAAACCGAATTCCCTTGCGGCACGAATCCTTAAGGCAAAGTATCATAAACAGACTAGCATATTGGAAGCGCACCTGGGGTACCGACCGAGCTTTATATGGCGTAGCATCATGTCAGCTCAAGAATTCCTATGCAATGGCCTTAGGTGGAGAATTGGAAATGGCTCTACGGTACGCATTTGGGGTGATAGATGGGTCCCGAGTATAAACGAGCATTATGTGCCTTCCGTGCCAATGGGTTTGCCGGTGGACGCGGTGGTACGAGATCTGATGGAGGAGGAGGAAGAGGGCTGGAATCAGAATCTTCTTGCAGCTTGTTTCCCGACGGAAGTGGCTGAGGCCATTAACCAAATCCCATTGCGAGGAGAAGGGGAAGTGGATGAACAGGTATGGTGCAATAGCAAGGATGGGACTTATTCTGTTAAAGAAGGATATAAAATGTGGCTACAGAGCTATAAGGAGGAAGAGGGGATTGTGCCATTGGGGAGCCCCGAAACCTAGAAGAAGCTATGGGCGCTCAAGCTACCTCCGAAAGTAAAACAATTCCTATGGCGGTTCACCAGGGATGCGCTCCCGACAGGCGATCATGTAGGGAGTCGAAGTCTGAGATGGGGTGATAGGTGTGTCTTCTGTAACCAAAAAGAGACGCAAGTTCATGTGTTTAGCGAGTGTCAATGGGGATCCAGGATATGGCGGTCATCGGAATTCGTGAACTGCTTTGAGGCTAGAGCATCAGAGGATTGCATGACATGGATGACGACTGTGCTGAATACAATGGAGGAAGACGTGATTGAAGGGTGGAGTGTGTTGCTTTGATTCCTATGGAAGGAAAGAAATGCACAATACTGGAATGGGCTGAAGCTACCCGAGAATGAGATAGTGCCCCGAGCTAAATACTTCTTAGAGGACTACCGCAAACACCAGGAAATCGAATAGGCTGAAGTGACTGTTGCAGTCACAAAAAAATGGTGCAAGCCAGGGCCGAGAAGACTCTCCGTGGCGTCGGACGCGGCCATGCTTGATGGAGGGGAGGGAGTTGGTCTTGGGGTGGTTGTACGGGATAGCAATGGTGTTTTTGTTCTGGCTGCAGCAAAGAGATTAAGAGGGGATTACAGTGTAGAGATGGCTGAGGCTATGGCTGCGGAGATGGGAATTCAAACGGCGGCAGGTCTGGAAAATGGCACCCCTATGTTGGAGAGTGATTGCATGACTCTGATCTCAAAGATCCAGAACCCGACCCGTGATCTGACCGAAGTAGGGGTGGTTTGTCGGAGTATATGGCGACGGCTTACACAGCTTAATGGTCAGTGCCGACATATCCCAAGAGAAGCGAATGGTGCAGCTCACATCATGGCGAGAGCGTTGACTCCTTGGGGAGAGAGAGTGGTTTGGTTTGATACTCCACCAATTTGTTTGATTGATCAATTACAGCTCGATGATGTAACGACAGGAATTGATTAATGAAAAGCGCAGGTTTACCATCAAAAAAAAAATAACCGTTAGAATTGAAATCCCAATTTTGCTCTCCAAATAGCAACCAATACGAAATTTACACTGAAATTAATTTCGTTGGAACAAAAAACATGCAAAACCAGTTCAAAGATAATGTAGCATCCCGAACTTTTTACCAACAAGATATTATCCGTTTTAGGTCTAGACCCTCGCGGATTTTGCTTTGGGTGCATATCAAGATGACTTACCGAGAGGTCTCCCATCCTTGCAATGCTACATAGTGAGCACGTTTCACTTCGGAGTTATTACAAGAACTACTCTATTTCACACCAAAATGTGTCATGTCAGTTAAGATCAGTTTCTTACCTATGATGGATCTCTCTATAATTAGTGATGGCAATGGGGCGGGATGGGGCGGGCACCTTAATTCACATGCCCCGTCGCACACTACTACGGGTCAGGGCGGGACGGGTCGACCCACAGTTGCATGTTATTTGAAAAAAATACACGCAAATTTTACTTTTTACGATAAAACGAAGGGAAAATATTTTATAAATGTAAAATAGTGATAATGAAATGGGTAATTGAGTCTTACAAGTTGAAATATCGACTATAACTAGTTGAAAAAAAAAAGTCAAAATAGGAGAAATATAGACAGTTATTATAAGAAATTGAGATGAAATGGGTCTAGATCGGGCCGGACCGGACGGATCGAAAGTAGATACCCATGCCCCGCTCTATGTTATTGCAGGTCTTATAATACCCGCCCCATCGCGGATCAGGTCGGGTAATACCCACGAGACGAATTCAAATTGCCATCACTATCTATAATGTTATACTATGATGCATTGCCATTGACGATCTAATGTCATAAATGTTTATCATCACGATTTATACATGCTTCTCTTAGGTGTTTGATCGTGGCAAAAAAAGAAAATTATGAATAGTTTTGGAAATTTTATCATCATATCTTAATTTGTGTGCTCGATTTTGTGTGTTCCTGAATGTTTTAGATCTCATGTCCGTCGAAAATCGATTGAGAACCGATTCGCGTCCTGCACTATGTTTGATTTGAAGCATAACAAGAAATGAAAACGGTCGTAGCCGTGAAACAGAAGCCGTCATAGATCCCATGGAACACAGAAGCTGTCAACCGGTATTGGATTCATTCACCACTCACTGTACCGTTTGAGTTATGCTCATTGCAAGTAAACCGGGCGTTAACCTCCTCGGTACATTCAGGCAGCTTCGTGATGGCATGAACAAGGAACGGCTGCGTGTGTACACTTCCTGCTAGAAGGGAGTTACCGCCAAACTTCTCTCATCTGGTTTCCCCAAGGAGAGCCAACTATAAAGCATTAGTAGTAATACTGTCTTCCAGAAAATACCCAGTAAATTAAAATGCAGGCAGAATGAAACTCCTCCTACCAATTACTCTGCTGCTCATAATTTCCATGGTTATGGCGGCGGCCTCTTTCCTTCAGCTCTCACTTGCCCTCGATATTGACGGTGCCTTTTCCCCTGATTCACCCCCTGCCTCTCCACCCGGTAAGTGCTAATCAAATGTATGGAATCGAGTTCGGTAGATTTTCTGGGTTATTTCAATGGCTTTTGTGGGTATTTTTACGGCAGGAACATGCGATTCGAAGTGCGAGCGAAGATGCGCCAAGGCAGGGGTGAAGAAGAGGTGTTTGAAGTACTGCAATATCTGCTGCGGGAAATGTCACTGTGTGCCTTCAGGGACCTACGGGAATAGGTCAGAGTGCCCTTGTTACAGGGACATGAAGGACAATAAGGGCAGGCAGAAGTGCCCTTAAACCTACTCACCCACACTGAAGATAAAAACTATATGTATATGGGGAGTTCTGTATATAAATAAAAGACTCTAAATTCATATATCCATATACTTGTGTGTTTCATCTTGTTCCAAAATGAGTAAGGAATCGATAACCATTAGACAAAATGAGAAGCTAAAGAATTAACGTCTCAGAATGATACACCATTCGGTTTACATCACGGCTCTCAGCACTACGTTAGAAATGTATAAGAAAGAATAAACAGATCTACAGAACAGAACAGAAATGTAAGCTATACTATATATACGTTGCTGCTTTGTTGCAGTAGACAGAGAACCAAGCAAGGGACGAGAGACATGAGAGAAAGAATATGCAGCTGCTAGCATATACAAAATCAACAGATGGGAAGAGTATGGTTTTTGAGCAGTTCTCCTCTTGGTAAAAAAGCCTCATTTTCAACATATATACCAATTAGCATATGCACCGAGTAAAAAAAGATTTCTTCTTCACCTTTCAATTTAAGGTTTCCGGTTCCATCCACCTCGTCCAGACCTCCTCTTACCACGTTTTCGCTTGTTACTGGTAATCACCCTGGACCTAGATTTTGGAAGTGATTTCCCAGGGTACTGCATCTGAAGTAATGGAGCCCTTGCTTGACTTGGGTTGCTTGCTGACTGCACATCGGTTGGTAAATCAGGATTCTGCTTGGCCTGACTCCCAAAATCTGCAATTTCTTTCTTTGCTGGTTGATTACCAGTCGCAAAAGCATCGTTCATCTGCAAATAGGGAAGAGCGAATCAGTAGCAAATCATAGAGTCCGTTTCTTGTGGTAGCCCCCATGCAAATTGAGAGTGACAAATAAGAATGGATTCACAAAAGCACCCTTTGTAAAGATGCAATAACAATTAACTTTGTTTTACAAGACTTTACAAGTTATGTTGCGGTTAGGTCTGGGAAAAAGTTGATGAGTTGATAGGGTATGAAATATGTTTTATTCGTAAAAGAAGTTACTGATGGTATAGCTTGTCTAAAAGAAAATGATTGTTTAAAAGAAGTTACCTAAAAAAAAATATATTTGTATTTCGAAGGGACAAAGCTGGAAATGAATTTATTAGTGATTTGATATTCAGATTTAAGTAATGTCTGTGTATATCTTTTAGCTTGTTTTTACCCAATTTGTTTTAGCCTAAACAAAGTAACAAACACACATTTATTTGTGACAGATAAGACAAGGAAATCATTGTGTAACAGAAGAACTTACAATTTCACAAGACACTCCAACAGAAGACTGAACTAGGGTTTCTGGCATATCAGGACCAGGGGCTGCCTCACCCAGACTTGAAACTGGAATTCCAGGTATAAGATCGTCCATAGGGTATAGAGAATTAAGCTCTCTATCTCCATTTTCAATCAAGGGACCCGGGTTTTCAGAACGGGCCAACATTTTATCTGGCTCAGGCGAGCTCAACCTAGTAACATAAGAGAACTTTCCTGGATTATCCCTCATCACCACATCGATTCGGGACCTCAACTTATGGACTTGGGACTGTAGGGTTCCAATTTTCATAAGGATGTCTTCATCCCTGCTAATCCCATCTTTAGAGTGTAGAGGTGCCCATCCATCCTGATGAAATGCAGACTTTGGATTCCCTTTGCTTGCCCTCTCTGCAAAAAGTGGAAGAACTTATTTAAGAACAAGGTCCTGCAGGCCTCTTTCACAGTTAAGATTGTTGAAACAATAATTCTTCTCACTTTTTACATCCTCAATTCACTAGACAATCCACAACATGCCCTTGGTACACTATCTCTGAGAGAATAACCAGCTGTAAGTTGAACCAATGATTTGACTTCTCACCTGGAAGAGTGGGATCACTGTTCATAGAAGCACCATCATTGGCTGCCTTCTTATGTTCTGGATAAAACAAAATTAAATGCAGTATAATATTACTTTCCAAAACAACAAAAACAATCAAGAGACTACAAAAGCACGAACAGGAAATTAGTTCGCACCATAATAGGAGAGCATGTTATTCTGCAACATAAACGATGTCATATCATTCATCTCTTCATATCTCTTTCTTTTCTTTCTCTTCAAAACTTTCATCCTTGGGTTCGAAGAAGAAAAAGGTTTTGACTTTGCTTCATGACCTTCTGCTACTAATGTCTCATGATCATATGTCTTCCTTTGTTCGATTTCTTCAAGTTCTCTATCATACTTCAGTTCCTGCGATTGAAATTCCTTAAGTTGCAATTCTAACCACTTACATCGCCACATAAGAGGACGAATGAATCTCCTCCAATGTTCGGTTAACCGTTTCCTCCTGGAAAATTTGAAAGGAAAACATAAATTCGAGTGGCATTATCAAGTTTTGAAGCGAAGTAACCAAGACTATGCATCAAGCTAACTGAGCAACTGAAAAGTCCCACCTCGAAACTTCAACATAGCAACATGATGCATGAAGCATCCCTGTATAATGTATTTCGTCAACATATGCACCATTGAAATGAAACTTCTTAAAAGTAGTCAGAACATGATGAAAAATGCTAGTATCTTTCCCCAGCTATATCCTAATCAATAATTCTCACAATAATACGAACTGAGGAAGGTATACAATCTAAAAACAGTGACTCATGTCAAATACTTTCCTTTCTGACAACTGTTGAAAACTAAATCAGCAGAGAACTGAAGATTTTCTAACAGTAAGTACCTAGATTGAGATTCTGCACCATAGCTATCAAATAATGAAGTTGAGTGACGACCACTGCACATATACGATTCAACCTCAGTATCAGTCAACATCAAGCCATTTTCTGTATCAGACGTGCTGCTGAATGAACTCATGCTCTCGCTGGTGTCATCGTTTTCAGTTTCCACATCTCCAAGATCATGAGAATTCAAACAATCAACTATATTAACTTCCAAATCCTCAGTTGTCTGCTGAACCTCAGCTTTATTTTTGGACAAATCTTCTTTGGGAAAGCAACCGCCATCAAGTTTATCTGAGCAAGGCACAGAATTTTCATTGCCATGCTGCGGAAGACTTGCAGACTCTTTCTGAGGCAAGCCTTCCATTCCCACCTTCATTTGATCTTTCATCTCCAAATCTGGGTCCATGCCCACAGGATCCACTCACTGTCTAGCAAATCAGCAGTAGCAGAACAATCAGGCAATTATACACCCACCAAACAAAGGAAACAACTTCTAGACTAACTCAATTGAGAAGGGACGATATTGCAGCGGAAGAATCCTATTACCAAACAGCTAACATGTTAAGCATTCTCAGTTGTACAAGAAGGAGCAAGAAAAGTTAATTTCTTTTTAGTGGGAAGAAAGATTGATCGAAAAGAATTTCTCATTCAACTTCGATTCTTTCGACGATGAAAAGAAGCAGGAGCCCTAAACCTTTATCGAAGCAACAGTAAGATTTAGAGAAACAAAAAAAAAAACCACTGAAACAGTTCTCTAATCGAAGGGACTCTCGATAGAAACGCGAGCAGAGAAGTTAAAACTTGACGATTCTCGAAGTTAGATTCGGCGATACTCGAAGGGAAAAGGTACTCCCTTTTCAAACTATCACGATCCGTAATGCAAGAGAAACCAGAAACCGAGAACCAATTTTGATCTTACCTAGCAGAGTCTAGGGCTTGCAGCGGTCATTTAGCTGGCGGAATTCGACGGAGAACTTCATCGACGGCGGGGCTGCTGAACTGCCGGAGTCCGATTGCTGCACTTCAGCCAGCACGGTGGTCGAGCGTCGGAGAGAGAGACTTGTGGAGTACGAAACGTGATATCAGGAGCCGAGGAGCGAGACCAGAAAAGCCGGGCTAGGCCAGAGAGAGCAATTTCTTTTGGGCGGTTCCGCGGTTGGAACTTTCCTTATTTTTTCTTTTTGTTTTTTTTTTCTGTGGAACTTTTCTTTTCTCTTGCGCTTCTTTCCCTTTATTTTGATAATTGTTTTTGCTTTCCTTATTTCATTTCGCCTTTCCCCATTTTTCGAACCTTCTAAACAATTGGTTTCACGCTTTTCTGTTCGGGATTTTTTCCTCACGAAATCCATACATACTTTTTTTATTAAATAAATTCTATAAATTTTGAGAAATTCATTTTGAAATGAAATATTTTTATATTTGGTATTTAAAAGAATTTATTTTCAATTCTAAATTTTGAATTTATAAAATTGGAACTAGTTATAGCAATTCTGAGAAATTGAAATAGAATTTCCAAATGAATTCCGCAAGTATTTACTAATTATAATAATATGATATAAGTATCCTCTTTTATTAACTAAATTACTTATATATATGACATACAAAACAAAGTAATTTATTTGAGAATGAATTCTACACGGTAATTCATTTTATTTTTAAAGATTTGAATATGACATACCAAACACAAAATTTCATTTGACAATGAATTCTATACGATAATTCATTTTACAATGATTTGAATTCTCGATTCATTTGGTACCTTAAGGGTGTTCAAATGGTTACCATGTTAATTACCAAACCAAATAAGTCAAAATTATGTTAATCATGAAATACAATATCATAACCAAAGCGTCCAAACTAATACAACAATCAAATTGACCAAACTAAAGTTTAATTAGTTTGGTTAATTGGTTAACCAGATTAACCAATATAACATCACATTATAATTCAGTGAGGAATTTTTTGGTTAATGCATCGATTCACAATTTAAATGACGAATAAAATATTACAATGAAAACATAGTTATAGTTAACTAATATAATTATCTTACATTCAATAGAAGTATTCACCTAACAAAAATATATGTCAATAGTATGGAGTTAAGTAATTGTTGTGATTGCGTGAACTGAATTAGAGTATTAGCAATTATCATAGGTTCAAAAAGACTTTTCTTTCAAATTTTCATCTAATATACTGTAAGAGTTTTTATCTAAATTGGGCGTTCATATATCATGGTCTACACTCTACAAATACACAATATAGGAACAATATTGAGTTTTACTGTTGATGAGCCTAAAAAAAGGAATTTTTGGGTCTTGAGTGGTTATGCCAAGTAGTAAGTATGTATTTATAATATATATTAGATATATGGATAATTACTTAACTGGTTAATTTGGTTAGATTGGTTAGGAGTGTCTGAAATCAAACCAAACCAACTAAACCAAACAAACTAAATTTTTTAACCAAACCAAACTAATTATCCAAATTAGCCAAACACTACCGATTAATATTAAAATTATAATGTAATTATACCTAACAATAAATAGAGAAATAACAAAGATTAGAATAACAAACCAATCAACAAAGTATTATGCTACAACATTCAAAGTATTAGACTCCAGTAAAAGTTGTATTTCATTTACACCAACCATTCTCTCTCAGCCCACACGGAATGCGTTAGGGTGACAACTAAAATTTTAGTAGCCACCGTGGCTACATCACTATCTGCCGTCCATTTTTCTTGTTTTCCTCTTTTTTTAATCTCACGGTTAATTTTATTTTAGGGTAATTTTGGAAACAAAAAAGAGTCCACACCTGATTATTCTATATATTCTACCCAAACCCTAATCTACCATCCCCTCCAGCCGAACCCTAGACGACGGTAGCCGACTGCCGGCTACCCGCCCCCTCTCTTTCTCCTCCGTCCACCTCCTCCACTCCCCTCCCTGCTATCTCCTCCTCCCGTCTCTCCGCCCACCCTCCGCCGACCTCCTCCGCCTCTGCGCGTTTTCAACGTGGAAGGAAAGACAAACCCTTCTTTTCTCCATACACCAGAAGCATTCGTGCACTATAAGAGCATCCAAAACTCAAAAAAGAAAGGAAACAATAGAGATAGAGAGAGAGAGAGTAAAAGGATTCTACGCTTCACAATGTGGCGAGTGGTAGCGGTTGTGGCGACCGTAATGATTTTGCAGGCACGTCCCTCGATCCAGCACATGATTGTTTCTATTGAAAACGAGTTGAGAGAAAGAAAGTTGATTGTTCATTGTCGATTCAAAAATAATACCAACCGCCGCCGTCGTCTCTGCAATTGGAAGAAGGAATTCCATTGGAATGGTATGTTTTTTTTAAATGGTAGTCATTTTTTTCAATAGTCATTTTTTTTAAATGGTAGTCATTTTTTTCCGTAGTGGTAGTGTTATAGTCGTATTGGTATAGTTTTTGTCGCATTGGTATTATTTTTTTCGCATTGGTATTGATTTTGTCGCATTGGTATTGATTTTGTTACATTGGTATTGATTTTGTCGCATTGGTAGTGATTAAATCTGCAATGGTATTGATGTTTTGTGAAATGGTAGTGTTTTTATTTCTTGAATGGTATTGATGTTTTGTGAAATGGTAATGTTTTTATTTCTTGAATGGTAGTTTTCGTGTATTGGTATAAATTTATTTATGCAATGGTAGTTTTCGTGTAATGGTATAGATTTATTTCTGCAATGGTATTGATATTTTCCAAAGTGGTAGTGTTTGTCTAATGGACTGGTACTGATTTCGTTTTTTTTTTTTTTTTTGCAGAAAGATTGAGAAAAATATGAAAAGTAAATCTGGCTGGAGATTACGGAAGTGAGAGAAAGAGAGAATTTTAATTAATAGATTTTTGTAACTACCTTAAATGTAATTTATTAAAAAATTAATTAATATAATTTATTTTTTCATACCCAATTTACCCTTAGTAACCACGGTGATTACTACTTTGTAGTAATCACCGTAACCTGTCCCCAGCCCACACAAATCAACATTGTTGTACATAATTACATACTACATACCAAGGTTCAAAAAGAAGCTAGGCGTAAGGCGAGCGTTGAGGCTTTGCCTAGCGCCTAGCTCGTCTAGGCGTAGACTAAGCGTGCCTAGACGTTAGAAGAAAAGTAGCTATTCACACTGCATGATGAATGGAATAATGATCTACAACACTTTCTCATTTAAGTTAAAATGATTAATAACTTACTCAACACTTAATGACAAGAATATATCTCACGAACTCATAGAATCATAGCTCAATAATTCACAAAGTTCTTGAGCTATTGAAAATATTGATATAGAAAATTGATTTCGTAGTTGATGTTAATTTTCTCCTTTAATATTGACTTCCTAGCTCCATCTAGTAATATTTAGGAGAGACTTGTATGCATGGTCCATTAAACCGTACCGTACCGTCGGTTCAACCACAAAATACCAGTATTGGATGCTAAATCGAGAGGCGGTATTTAACGATATTAACGGTTGAACTACGGTTCAATCACGGTTTTGTCATAAAATACCCAACCGCTGACTTTTCCGATACGGTCCCGGTACGATTTCATAGACCGTGCTTATATGTTACCTTATTCCATTGACATGTTTCAGTATCTAATTAGGCGCAAAACCTCTAGGCAAAGCGTTTTGCCATTGCCTTGCGCCTAGGCGTGCCTAAGCATAACGTTAAGGCGTTAAGCATACCTTTTTGAACTATGCTACATACAAAATATAGGTTGGTGGGCTGACAGAGCAGCTGTGGACGATTATTGTTCGACTTTTTTCTCTAACTAAATCAAACGGCGGAGTCTTGACGTTGGAGAGCGATTTTTTTTTTTTTTTTTGTTCCGGGTTGCTCGGTCTGATTTAAAGTTTAAACCAGTCGAAATATAATAGTACAACGGTTCATCCGCTAGAAAGCGACTGGCCTGGTTTTTTTTTTTTTTTTTTGCTTCTGTTGATCATTACCAGTTTGTAGCGGTTGAACCGCTGGCATGGTTCGGGTTTTTAATCCTAGGATAAAAGCTAGCTTTCGTTAGTCAGCCCCAGCCAAATATATCCTTCTGCGAATGGCTAAACAAGAATGCAGAGATATATAATCATTTCCCAAATTGACATGAAACGACTTCACTTTCACTAAAAACGACATAATCATGTCCTCTCATATATCCATTTTGTTTACTCTCTACAAACAACTAATCAAAATCACGTAGATGATCCTCAATCTTAATATGCGTTATTTGCACCTTCATGACAACAAATGTACACACACTATGTATATGGTTTTTTTTTCCAGAATAAAAACCTCAGCAATGACCAATGGCACCTTTAGTCTCTTTGTACTCAACATATCAGTTCCTGCCCGGGTTTCCATGCCGTTGGTTCCTGAAGTGGCTAAGGAGTGACTGCGCCTGCAAACCATCATCCCAAAACCCTAAATCATGTTAAAAAGCATTCCTTGGCAATCGACATAAGACACCAAGTGTGTTTGGTTGCATTTAGAAACAGTTGAGCTTGATGCCCTATTTGTTAGTTGTGAATATTTGTTTTCAGAAGTTATATGAAAACAGTCAGCTTATTTTAGCTTTTAAGCCCAACACACCCCAAAAAAAAAGTGTACCTTCTCTTTAGCTCTGGGAGTGCCATTCTGTGACAACGCCACTAATGGCGGCACAGCACCTTCTTGGAGCACATTGTTGCAGAACCTGTTACTGTTCGTGCAAAGCTGCAAAAGAGCAGCAGCTGCGTTCTCTTTCCCTCTGGCAGAACCCAACTCAACAACTTCCACCAAAACAGGGATCCCTCCTTGCTGACCAATGGCATTTCTCCCCTCGGGGATCGTTGCAAGGTTCGCCAAAACAGCGACTGCTTTGTCCACCATTCCAGCTGCTGGGTCCATCAACTCCACCAGATGCTTTACGGCACCAGCTGCAACAATCCGAGCCTTGTTCTCATGAAATATTGATAAATTAAACAATGCTGTTGCGGCGTCCTTCTTCCCTCTCGGAGTACCATTCCCCAACAAATCCACCAGTGGTCCAATTGCTCCAGACCTTCCAATCCTGACCTTGTTTTCCTCTATCACTGACAGGCTGAAGAGTGTAGCAGCTGAGTTCTCTTTAGCTTCATGGCTTCCAGTTTCAAGAACATATATCAAAGGCTCAATGGCTTCAGCATTAGCAATCGCAGTTTTATTGTTATCGTTGATCGACAAGTTTAAAAGCGCTGTGACAGCATTTTCCTGAATCTTCAAGTCAGTTGACCGGAGCAAGTTGACCAACAAGGTAATGGCCCCACAGTTGGAGATCACAATCCGGTTATCCATATTGTGTTTCGCAAGTAATCTGAGCTGACCTGTTGCTTCTCTCTGCGTATCAATAGAATCACTATTCAAATCTTCAACCAACTTTTTGACTTGGGTTTCGAGGCCAGAGAGATCAGCTCTTGTTTCAGTCGTAGGAGAAGAAACTATCCGGGGGAGAAGCCTATCAGACGGGCGGCGCCAAAATGGTTGACTTCGAGATCGAGTCTCAACAAAACGAGGCGAGAATTCTGGTTCCCTGTGAAGAGAGCTGTTTGATGCAGCAGCAGAAGAAACCACCCGTGGCATTTCAGATTTTACTTCCCCAGATGTGTCGCTATTGTATGAAGCAATAAGATGATTGGGCACCTCCAAAGACTCACTAGCATCATCTCCAGATGATCTTCTAGGAGAAGTTGCATTTGCAGCAGAGGCACTTCTACCATGGCTCCTCCTTGAAAGGGGGGAGTCGTCAGCTGCAACAACAGAATCTGAAACTTCCTCCATTCTAGATGGTGATGCAATAGAATCTATGATCCTTTCCTCTGAGTTAGCAAACCTTTCTTCAGAACCGGTCAGTGATATACGAGCAATATCTAGATCCTGGCCATTTGCGACTATGCCTGATAAAGAACTCTCGGAAGTTGAACGTGGATGTAACAGAGAACTTCCATCTCTATGAAATCCACTAGACGACACCAAAATTGGGCCAGGCGAGCTCAGAGAACGAGGTGGTTCTGCTGATGAGGGATGCACAGACTTCACAGGAACTGGCAGCTTAACATTGTTCAATTCACACCAATTTGCAATCAAGGCCTTCACGGTGTAATTAGGTATGAGATTAGTGTGAGCCAGAGTATGCCGTGTCTTGGGGCACACAGTGAGTCCAAGTTCAATCCAGTTTTTGATAAACGCCCGTTCATAGGTCTGCCCTGATGCCACAATAACTGGATCAGTCATCAATTCAAGTGAGAGAGGGCAGCAGAAATCAGGTGGTATAGGGACTGGGCTGCTGGTTTCGGACTGTTTGATGAGGAGAAGCCGATCGTGCATCCTGGTTACAAGAGCAATGAGTTGATCGAAAAACTCAACTTCCCCGTTCTTTTCAGCCTGGTCAGCAGTCTCTTTCAATTTTTCAAGTGCCACTGCTTCGATAAGAATCTCCTGATTGGTTCTTAAGCTGAGACTCTCAGCAATTCTGACTAAGATATCAGAGCCAGTTGTTCCAGCACCTTCCTCTTGATCCTTTAAGCCCTCCTTAACGGTAGATGACGTATTTTCCACTCCCATTTGCTTCAATTTTTGTATGCAATACTGCAGAGAGTTGTGCCAGGTTATTGGACATCATGAGGAAACAAAACACTTAATCTTGTCATCTCAATGGCAGCATGAATGGTTTATTTTGCAACCGAGTTAAAAAAAAAATCCATGATGTATACTGCAACCTGACGAACCATATCATATAACTAGTATTTTACCAAATAAGAGATTGGATGAGGGTAACAAGAGAAAGGTACCTCAAGAGACGACGAACTCAATTCTTCAGGAAGATGTTCATTGGCAGATTTCAAGAACTGAAATATTTCCAGGCCCAAACTTCGGATCTTTGACAACAATGGTTCAGTTTGAAGAACCTACATAACAAAGCACAAAGATGAATAGGCAGATGGTCAGTGATTTTCTTCCCTGTATGATGAGTATAAGTAATTAGTAAGATAGGGTACAATACAACAGTTGGCGCATTAATTTTAATAAATTATAATTAGAGGATATGAGGAGATGCAAAAGAAAATAGAGAAGATCACTGCAAAACAAGAATACTCCCCCACACAAGCACATGTAAGTAAATCCATGGCGATGGTACGAACACTACCCCACCGAAGCCGACATACACACCCCTTGACATAGGAGCACAAAAGACTACATTTTCCCTTCGGACATATCACAATTAGTGAGTGATAAAAAAAAAGTCTCAGACAAATTAACATCAAACATCTCAGTTGAAGATGCACTATCCATGAGCATGCTATCAGCAGTAACCATGAGGATGTTATCATTTACAACGGCAGCTTAGTTACTCCACTTAACAATTTCAAGAGACCATTTTCCATTTATTCAATACAAAAGAGAAGGCATTGGAACTCACCAGAAATACTTTGCTTGATAATGGCTGCCAGTTTACGAAGAGCTCCCTGAGTTCATCGATAGATTGACTCAGCTCTGCAAAGGCTTTATTAAGCATCTCATTGGAAGCTATTTCACAATCAACAACAGAATCAAGTATGGGCTTTAGAAGCTTCAGTATCTCTTCTGTCTTCTGAAAATACTTCTGGACCAGACCAGAGATTACATTCTCAAATGATGATAGATGAGAAAAGGAGGAGATATTATTGAGAAGCACTTTTAACAGAGATATCTCCATCAGAGCCACAAGTCACTGGAACAAAATCACAGAGTATCTAACAAAGAAACAAAACAGATTAATTAGCATAAATATAGGGTGAACCTTAAGAGGAATTGAATGTTGACGACGGTAGCATGCCGTACTTGGTACAAATAATTCCACATGCTGAAAACGAGTATGAGAATATGGTACAACGGTGAACTCTTACATCCTAATGCAGAATCGCCTCATGAGGCATCAGCGCGTACAAGGAGAAAATAGGGAAAGCATAGATAAAGTTTTTCCCATGAATGCCATAATTAGCATCTATAGTTCGCACAGAAGGTGATTGTCAGATCATAATAACAGTATGGCTTTACCTTCCTTGACCAAACCCCACAAGCTTGTAAGTTAGTGCACAAGAAGAGCTACCATCAACGCTCCTAGTTCTGACAGAGAAGACGGGACTTCTGTAAATACAGGACAAGCCAACAAAGACCTGAGAAACAATGTTCACAAGTCCCTTAACCCACAAACATAGAGAAACAATATAGAACTCAAATAAACAAAAGACCCGCCCAGAGAAAGAGTTTGGGAGAGGGGGCAGGGACGATTCTAGTTGGTAATTTGTCAAACTGATGACACTGAAATCAATTAGCAGCTAAAAAACCGTTTGCAGCACACAGGCACAAAACCAACGGGTTAATGTTAGAAACTAATGCGAGACGAAACCTTGAATCAATTAGCCATATGGTAAAGCTAGCTGAGTGTGCATAGGATTGATAACCACAGGGTCTTAAAGGGCCATAAAACACATAACTTGTAATATAAGAAGACATTGGTTGTGGTTCCAAAATCCATACTTCAGACCTAACAGAAAACATGTTCCACTTGTTCAATTGTTTTCTCCACCAACTTCACCATGGACAATGTGCAACAATAATCCACAACTATAATTCTAGCGTATCCACAACTCTGATAGAGAGGTGCATGATATGATATATAGGATGCATTTCTTCTTTCATTCATTTTCCTATTTTTGGAACTCAGCATCGAATATCAATGAATTTGATCTTACAAAAGATGCATTGATTTCTCATACCATTCTACAGAGTAGCTTATGCACAGAAATATTTCCCTCACCAGCCACCAAACAAGGATCAACTTATGGTAAAATGCTAGCATAGCATCTCGTGACTACATGCCAACTCCCGAAATTCAAATCCTTCCTAAAGTAGCATCGCCATGTTAAGCATACTTCAGAAAGAAACACGAGATAGATTCAGATGAAGAGAAACCCAACTAGAACCAGCTTGTTCAGACACAAAAACAGGAAAGCTTCATCTACCTATCGACCCATTAATGAACCAATCACGAGAACAATCACCCAGTCCCTGAACCAACACAACCAATTAAAGAACACCCAAATCCTAAAAACAGTCAACTAGCTGAACTCTACCTTCACAAAAGGCAGCCCGAAAATGGGTAAGATTCTACTCGGTCATCTAAATTCAGGGGAAATCGAAACTAAACAAAGTTAAAACCTCGAAGATGGAAGTCAGAAAGAAGTAAAAGTCCCATTTTTCTCGATTTCAGCTCCCCCCCCAGAACGACTGATTCTCCAGCCGGCCAAGAAATGACAAAAGCACAAGCAAATTCAGTTTTTTTTTAACAAGGAAATTCAGTTAAAGATGAAACGAAGCCGCGAAATTTTAAGAAAAGATAGAGCGGCAAGACCCTAGACAGATCGAAGCTCGAAGGAGAAAGAAACGGTACCTTCAATGGAGGGAACTTATGAAGAAAATCACGGCAGAGAGAGTCAGCGAGAGTTCGTTTCGAGGTCTCTCCCAAAACCTCTTTTGAACTTGTCAACAAAAAAAAAAAAAAAAAAACCTCTTGTGGAAAGACCAACCACCCAGATTTCGCTTTATTCTCTGTGCCCGCTCGCCCCGAGTCTGCCCGACCCGGGCCGACTGCCTGTCATTTCCCATCTTTTTTCTTATTAATTTCTTTTAATAATTATTTATTTGAAATAGTGGGAGTTAGGTGTGGAGACTCACTAGACATTCTCGTCTTTATATATTTTTGGCAAAATACACTTGTATAGCCATAACTTTCACATTTTTGACAAATATAGCCATATTTATTCGAAAACACGATATAGCCCAAAAAACAGAGGGTAGTGTGACAAATCTAGCCAAATCCGTTAGAAACTTTAACACCGTCTGTGACTCCGTTAAATCGTTTAACGGAAAGCTGACGAGGACGAAATCCGACCTCCACATCAGCGACACATCAACAAAATGTACACGTGGAATGCCACGTCAATGTGAATTATAAAATAATTACTTTTAAAATTAAAAAACAAAAAAAATCTAATCTTTCCCCTACCCCGATTAAGCTTAACACTCGGAGACCACAAGGAAACGCCAACCGGCCGCCGGCAGCGGTAGCAACAACGACAGGTTGAGCGCCCTCCCCGACGATCTCCTCCGGCGCATCCTCATCGCCGCCGACCTCGACACCGCCACCGCCGTCCGGACCAGCCTCTTCTCCACCCGGTGGCGCTCCCTCTGGAGATCGTGCCTCCCCTCCCTCCACTTCCGATTCCCTTCCTCCCGCCACGACGAAGGGAAGAGCGCCCGTCGTTACCGCGTCCTCGCCGATTCCGTTTCCCTTCCCCGATTAAGCTTAATACTCGGAGACCCATCTCGTCGGAGTTGTCGAACGAAATTTCATCATCTTTCTTCCCGTTTGGTAGCAATCTGGGTGGGAGAGGGCGGAGATTCATCGTTCCCACCAGGGACCCATTCCCAACCGGCGACCATCGCTCCCAACCAGCGACCAAACCCTCTCCAGCTTCGAACAAATCCCCTTCCCTGCAACAAAAATCCCAAACCTAGAAACACCCAAAATCTCCAGAAATACCCAAAATCCTCAACCCCATACGCTTTTACAGAGCCACCACCAACGACTCAATCCCTAGAATCAGAATGTTTCCCAATCCAAATGAGAAGACCACTTATGTGAGAAAACAAAGAAAAAGAAGGATTCCAAATTCGTTGTCCTTGCCTTGCCCCCAACTGCCCCCTGTCGATAGAGTACCACCAGCAAAGGGAGTGGGTTTTGACGGTCGATTCAGATCTGCCTCACTGTCGCTGTTGTTGCAACATCGGCGCCTTCAGATCTCTATTCACGGCGATTGTTCTATGAGATCCAGCTTCTCAATCTCCGCATAAAGAACTTGCACCCTTTCCCTTAATTTCCCAACTCGCACAACCAAACTCTACAGCTCCTCCTTCGCCGCAACCCTCTCTGCCTTCAGCTCCTCGTACTGGTTCGCCTTCACCATTTCCCCTAATCGAACGAGCATGAAGTCTACGTTCATCCCTTGCTGCTCGAACCCTCTCAACTTGCGGTTATGGTTGTGGTTGTGCTGATGATGGTAGCCGCCGGGAGTGGGGCATTGGTCGTGGAGGGAGGAAGGGAAGGGAAGATGTCAAGATGGAGTGATTGGGGAAGACGGCTCAGCATTGGGGATTTAATTTTTTTTATATTTTAATTTTAATGTGCTAGATTTTAATTTTATTTTTTTGTGTTATCCACATCAGCTGGTGAGACCATAAATTGACCAACTCAGCATTTTCCGTTAGTCCAGTCACACCGTCAACTTACGCTGTTAACAAAATGGACGGAATTGGTTATTTTGTGTTTTCAAATAGTTATGGCTATATTTGTCACAAACGTGAAAGTTATGGCTATACAAGTGTATTTTGCCTATATTTTTCCTTTCGTTGAATGTCGTTATATATTTATCCTTTGGTAGTAGTGTGGTGTTTTGGAATATATTTCATTAATTATTGGTTAAGCAGTCTTTTATTCTAATTTTGTGGAATTGACTTTGGAAATAGGCACCAAAATCATGGCCGGTTACTATTATTATTTTTTATTTTATCATCATAGTATACTAAGTGCAGATGTTAGACTTTCTAGTTTTTAAATGATGGTAATGGAGCATGTTTCGCTAAATTCATATCTATTTCAGAATATCCGTCTCATATTCGTGCGGGTCGAGAGAGTAAGATTTACCCTGGACTCTTCTTATGATAGAAAAGTTGATTGTTGCGGGAACAAGTTAGTACTAGCGATGTATGATTTTGTAAGCTCAATTGTAGTACTAGACCGACCCATTTTTTCATAGATAGCGTAGGAGTGATACAAGGTAGCCCGACCCTTTTTTTTACTTATAGTACATCTTAACACATTGTAGCCTCTTTTTTTTTTTTACAATTTCGATCAAACCTTCCCCTGTAATATGTCAAACACTTTAAAACATAGCAAGAACACCTAAGAACTCTCAAAGCTAATCAAACCCAAAATATTTAAGACATATTATGTAAATATTGATTATGGATGATTATTGACCTTATTAGATTATTACATTAGATTATCACTTGAGAATTACATGTAAATTATGTAATCCTTTTTTTCCTACATTTGAAATGTATTTTATGTTTCATTATCTCTCATTTATATGTATTAATATTAGAATGTAATACTTACCAAATTGTGCCTATAAATAAAGCACATCATTTTCTTAAAAGAGAATATGAATAAAAAAGCACTATTCCCCCTCTCTTCTATTCGTGTCTTTCCTCTCTAGTCCTCTCCTCTTCTATTCGTGTCTTTCCTCTCTAGTCTTCTCTTGTATTTGTTTATATTCTCAATCGGTTTCTTAACACTTTATCAATCTAACGTTTCTTTTAGTTATATAAGTGTCAATATTTTGCTAATCTTTATAGTAAATTTAAACTCTCAATCGTCTTATTGGTGTTGAGATTATCTCATCCCAATATATTAAAATGGATGCTACTCTTTTCTCGTAGTAGATCATCCATTGATATTTTACCAAGCACATCTATTTGGATTAATATTTTTGGTTGTGTAATTTGATTAATATTATTTTGTAAATTTTTAATACATATTGATTTCTTAAATTAAATATATGTTTTGACATTATCAGAAAGTAAAAACTGCTCATGTAGTAGCAATAACTAGAAAAGTAATATAAGTGATAATTTAATTTCTCAATTCTATGCATTATCCAATTATTATCAATCATGCATTGATATGTAAAAAATGCAAGTTTCAAGAGCTCATATATTCCCTAAAAGTGGAAATTGAAGAAAGAAAGGCAAGAAAAGAAGTTGACATTGTAAAAAGAATATCAGAATTGTATGTTACAAACGCTAAAGAAAAATGTGTTTGTCTTGTACTCATTGTACGCAAACGACTTTATTTTACCAAGAATCAAAGAGAAAAGAAATTCAAATGTGCTCATATATTAGCAATATTATGGAAAAAGAAATTGGAATTTTCCTAGAAATACCACCAAAAAAATTCCAGAAATACCACTCATTCCCGAAAATTTTCATCCATACCACCCTTCCCAAAATCGCATCCCC